TCATGATTTCCTGAATCGTGGGAATAATCTCAGGAGGCATGGTACTGAAATAAATATGACTAGCACCTAACCTAGGAATAAAATACCTGTCTTTACCATAACAATTAATAAGTTTTTATGCAAAGGGAATTCAGAGAAACCAAGAAAAAACACCCATGCAAGTATTTTCTGAGCAAGCTGAAGCATGGTATCTGAATATCTGGATTTAAAGTGATGAAGCCAGTAAAGTTCATATAAACCCTCCTGTTTGCTACACAAAAATTTCAAAGAAAGTCTCTCACACAAGGAAGCTTGTTGGTTAGAAAATCAGACAACTCAGTCATGGGAGTCACATCATAGAAGATCCCAAGCCCAGACCCCAAAACTGTACACAGGACACCACGGTTAGTGAAAAGCTTATTGAAGTACAAAACTAACAGGAGAGGGAGTAGTAACTGTTTAATATTTTTAATCAATAGCAAAAAATAATTTTTGTAGTTTTATTTTTTGTAGTTGTGACTTCCAATAGATTTCCATAGAATTAAATAGCGTAATACCGCTTTTGAAAAAATAAGAGCCTACATTTAGCATTTTCTTACACTGCAGCTACCTTATTTGAAATATAACTGTTGAGCATGTCTAAGAAATCAGAAGTGAGCTTGTTTCTTCCAAATCAAGGTGAGCTTGGAAGGAATAATTTTTCCTCTATCTTCACATAAGTCACTTTTAAGTTTCTAGCTGCTAGTTTTTGCTGTTTTTATGTGGTGTTCCATTCCCCTCACCCAACAAGAAGTCTCTTTAAAAAATAGCATGGTTTAAGAAAAAGAGACTAGGAGGGTAGAAGTATAAAGATCTGCGTCATGAAGCCCATGACAATGAACGAGGGATTTAATGGAATTTATCTTTTTATCTGTGAATCAAAGGATGTTGATTAAATGACCTCAAAGATCCTTTCCAACTCCAAAGTTCTAATTTTAAGGACAAAACAGGAATTTTCATTTTCTCTACAGGAATATGAAATGCAGAGACAGGCTGACAGCTTGACTACTTGAAAGCAGCACAAGAGAAATAAGCTGTCACTTTTTAAAAAAAACTGATGGGTAACACTGTTCTACCATAATAATGAAAAATAACAACCTCTAGAAAAAGTAACAAACTCTTTAACATATTTGAAACAACATGCTATTAACTATTTGGTATTAGGATATGGTAATTTCTGACTTTTCTACTTATGCAGAGGAATTTATAATAACAGAATGACAACTCTGAAGTTTGTATCCAATATTTCCTGTACAATTTAAAATTTCACCATCAAAGTCTTATCCCAAGAACCAAGTCTGCAGAGCTACTGAAGAGTATACTGTGTCACATACATGCTGGAAGATTTTTACAATCTTTCCAAATTGCTGATTTTCTCCAGTTTTCTGGTAATAGGCAATAATAAGACAGATGTCTCATTACAGCTTAACATCAATAATTCTTCAGGTTTTATTTTCCTTTCTTTTCCAGTATATCTTAGGACTAGTTAGGATATTAATTTTCATTTAAGTGAAAAAATACTTTAGCCCAGCATCTCTAAAGATGAAAGCTTACTACATACTATAAGAATAAACATTTTTAAATGCCTCATTTTACTACTAAAGACCAAGCTACTAGTTGGGTATTCATATTTTTAACTTTGGGAAAGCAGTTTGTGCAGGTCTGATCCACTTTATTATACGTTAAGTTTATTTCTTTTTTAAAACACCATTGCATTAGCCTTTTATATGTTCCAAAATCTCTCAGGTTTCTTCACAGTGAGCAGCAGTTTACAGAATCTCATTTAAGTTTCACCAACCTTCCTTAATAGCTTTCTTTCTAGATCTTTTAATTTCTACTTCTGAAAAGAAAAAAGTCTACATGAGCACATGTGTGCATACAACTGCAGAACTAGTGAAATATGAAAATAGCTATCAGTAGGACATTCTAAATTTTGAGTCATGAATGGTACTGTTCACCTAGAATCATGACTATCACATAATAATCAAAGCCAGAAAGAATGACTCCAATAATCAGGTAATAAAATGCTGACGACAATTTCTTTCAAATGCTGTCAACAAGCAAGGTAGCTAAGAAAGTTTAAAATAAAATTTTCCTGGCATTAATTACTCTTGTATTCAATATGTTGTGCTAAAACTGCAGCACTATGAAAAAGTGTGGAAAGTTAGTGAAATTTTAAACCAATTAGATATACAAGAAGCTTAACAGATGACAGCAGTCAAACCTACAAAAATTGGAATACACTGCATAAACTGTTACATGTGTGGAAGAACTTTACAAACTGAAGTGTTTTAGGAGTGCTACAAATCAGAAATTAAATAAGGATTTCATGTAGTTATTCTGTATTATAAAATTCTACAGTATTTGGTATATAGTATATGGGTCTATATTAACTTTTACTGTTTTATTATGTATTTATGATACCCCCACCTCAAATTTAACATGTGTTAAAAAAAAAAAACCCCACAAACTACCTAGTTCTTCCTCCTGATCTATATTATCATCTCCAGCCTCCTGATAATCTGTACTTTAATTTTCAGTCATTCCTATTTCCTTTACCTCATCCCACCCCCCGCACCACAACCAATCAGTTGGCAAATCCTATTGACTCTTAGTTCAAAATCTCACTTGTATCCAATCCTATCTTCCTACTCTCATGGTAGCCTAGTTCTGGTCCTTTATTCAACTACCTAACTAATCTCCAGAAGGCTTCCCCTACTCTAATTCAGACTGCTCGTCATCAGGGGTAAAATACTGGCTCACCATTGTTTGTCAGTGCACAATACCTCTTTGGTCTAGCTTTCAAGAGCTTCTATAATCTGACTTCAATACACCCCTTTAGTATCATTCACAGTAACTACAGAGACTCTCCCTGTCAGTTAAACTGATCCACCTTCTAACTCCAAACACAACTTTCCATTTTCTACTCAATGTCCTTGACTCATCTATTATTCACTTTGTCTGGGATGTCCTATACCCACCCACGCAAAGCTAAGAAACAAAGATAATTGAAATCCTACCATTGTAAAGACCAACTTAAAATTCCCTTATCAAGTCCACCCTGATAAACCCTGGCAAAAAGTGCTCCATCCCTTTCCTCCAAGATTTTAGAGCATCTCACCCCAAGCATGTAGAGCCAGAGCTGGTTCTCATGTATCTCTGTAACTCTGCTCACTTGGAAGACACATAATAAATGAATAAATGAGTGAATGAGTGTTACATAAATCAGATTAAGATCTTGGGTAATGTTAAACTTTAAATATTTGGGAAATAAGAAAAACAAGTATGCTAGCATTTTATTTTAGATATCTCTAAATTAAGAAATATGAGACCTCAACATTTAATATTTTAAATACCCCAGACACCTTAATTTATAGGTTTTTAGAGTAGGAAGAGATATTCTGACTATATTGCCACATAACAACTCTTGAAAGTACATTAAATATATAAGGCTAAACTGTTACATTAAAATATCATACTTAAAAAAAACACCACAACTGTCTTTCCAACAAAATAAACACGTTTTTTTAAGAAAAGTTAATTGTTCTAAAAATACGTTCTTCATTCAGAAGACACTTCAATGATAATTCAAAGAGATTTTTCAAAGAAAATTCAGATACTTTTAACTATGCCATATGATGCATATTGTCGCTTTTAGGAAAATGGTTCCTAGTTCTGTAAAGATATACAAATGTGTCAAATGCTCTTTCATGGGGCAGTGCTGAAATCTGTCAATAAAATAGAGTTTTAATCAAATATTATTACATTATTGTTCAAAGGAAAGTTAATTTAACAACCATAAAAGCTATAGCTTGAGATACAGCCCCAATAAAGAAAAGGATAACATATAAACTCCGTACCATATTAGCTCAGATAAAGTGATTAAACCTGTATCCGCAGTATTAAAGCACTGAAGTGTGTTTCAATAAGAAATAGCAAATAGAATTCCCTTGTGGTGAAATTAATTATTTTTATCACTTGGTTACAAGTTGGCTGTGTTTATACATATACAAAGGCAACTGGGCATAGCCTGGATAGTACATTTTATTCTCTCACTCTGTGGGCAGAAATACTGGATGCTGAATTGGCCTCTGCATTATATAAATGATACGAAGAAGCCAGAATTTGTTAACGGGAAAAAATATTAGAGTTCAGAAGCAGGGGAAACAGAAGGTAAAACAGACTGATGTAAACAGGAATGACGGTCATTCGATAGTTGCATCTCTGGTGTCTATCTCCCCTTCTCCTTCCCCAAAACTAGCTTCTACTGGGGATCTCTGTGGTTCTAAAGAAAGGGACCCTGCCTTGGTTCCAAGCATGGAACAAACTAATCAGTGGTCACACTGATTAATTCAAGAATAAGAATGTAACCTAAGCCAGTTTAAAAAAAGTTAATTTTATGATTTTTCCTAGGAATAGCAAGAGTCAAAGTTGTTCTCTCTCTCTCCTTACATATAAACATGGGGAGTTTACCATGTTAAATGGAGTTTAGCCAGTTGAATAAGGATGCATACAGTTCCTTGGTGGGGAGAGGAGCCAGTCTTAGGATAAAAATCACCCCTCTAAAGACAGGATGATGGAAGGAAATTGGGTGTTGGTGACATTATTGACATTATTAATGAGCCAAAGCAACAAATCTTGTCCAATCTAGCCTTGCTTCTGGACTTTTCAGTTATAGAAGACAATATGATCTCTTTCTCGTTCAGGCCAGTTTGAGATTTTGTTTTAAGGTACCTGCAAACAAAAGAATCATAACAGATACCAAGGCAAATATATACTGTTGGACAATGATTGTAGAAAACATCTGCTATATAAAAACTCATCAGTTATTAAATCTAAGAAAATTATTAAAATCAGCAATTCAACAAATTCACAGAAGCAGAGATTTTAAAAATTCACAATAACTGGAAACTGTATCTAGGTTTAACAGGAGAATCCATTTGAAGGTTTCATTTGGAGTTTCCTGAAGGAAAATTACTTACCTGGAAATGTACTATGTCTATATTCTATCTTGTGCTGGGGATTCTTCCTTAAAAAAAAAAAAAAAAAAAGGGAAAAAAAAAGAAAGAAAGCAAATATAAGGTCTAGTTTGACAATCACTGAAAAGGAATAGGACTGTTTAAATTAAACTAGAGCACTCACTAACCTATGAATAAAATTAGCAGTAAACCTCTTACTGAAAAGCATTTGCTTTGTTATTGTTGTTGCTGTTAACTATAGTCACCATGCTGTACAAAGCATTTGCTTTTTAATTACATTTACTGAGTGTCTACTCCATGCCAGGCATACTTCTAGATGCAAAGACAGAGTGATGAACCAGATAAAGTGCTGCCCTCATGACTGACATCCTACAGAAAAGCAGTATGAGACAAATAAAATATAATACAATATACTGTATTTCTAAACTGTCAATGCCACATATCACATATATAAAGATATGAGGTAAATTAGTATATAACACAAAATATCAAATTGTGTGTGTGTGTGTAATATCTAAAAGGATACTTCTAAGGCTCTTCTAGAATCCAAAGACAAAAGCATGTAAGTCATGTCTCTCCAAAGAATACCAATCAACTGTTATGAGAAAACAAGAAAGTCAGTTTGCATCGAGAAATTTATAATAACATATCTCAAAGTCAAACAGAAACTACTGTTTGAATATCTACTTTTGATTATATATATTGATGATCGCTTCTATCATTTCATTAAACAAATGTTTGGGTACACTGTGTATACAACACATTCTCCACAAAGTACAAAACTACCCAGGCAGCAGAACCCCAAAGCAGCAACTGGTTTATCATGATCCACTTGGTGGGTACCTTTCTCTTAGGGGACTGACAAAGGAGAGCCGGGGAGCGCGGACAGTAGACATGTGCTGAGGTATACAGTTCACGTGAAGCTGTTGTGAGGATTCAGGAGTAATACACAATAAGTCCTCAGTTTAAGGGCGCAGTAGGGGGTAAGTAATTAATCTTAGCCATTGATTCATTCATCAGTGGTCCAAGTAATAGGCATGGGCCACTTATTACATGCCAAGCTCTGTGTCAGGTGTCAGCGACGTTTCTTCTATCTCTAATATCTCTTCTTTTGGGGTAACTTCTCCTACGATATGAGCATTAAACACAGTACGAGAGTGCAACCACACAATTAACTGGGGTCATAACTCAATAGTTTTGAAAACTGGAAAAAAGATTCACCAAAAGATTGTGTGTTTGGGGTAATTAACCCAAATTTGACCTTTTGATGGAAAAGAAACTTCAAAGTTGAAAGAAATAAACTGGTTAACTTAAACGTGATGAAGGGAGCTGCAAATGAACAAAGCTGCCATGATGCTTCGTGGGAAGATCTTTCCTTACTGAACATGCTGGCACAGGTAATTAACTTGTTTAATTCAGTCTTTATTAAAGTACAATTAATGTTGGACATCAGGGGAGGTAGAACAGAAAAACGGGGGACATTAATACCAAAGGTATTTTCATCAATAATCTGGATAAAATTGCTGATCCTTTGAGATTGTTTTTGGTAACCATTTTAAAATCTTTTTTTTTTATTGTGGTAAAATATACTAGTAAGTTTTTATTTTGAAAAAATGTCAAACTACTGAAAAGTGGCAAGATTAGTACACAGAAATTCCATATATCTTCATCAAGATTCTTCAAGTGTTAACATTCTACACAAATGCCTCATTATTATTATTATCTATCTATCTACAGTCATTTGAGATTTAAAGACTTTTTCCTCCTTCCTTTTAATACATGTTTGCTTCAGGTACCTAGAAGTCCTAACCTTTTCCTGTTTTGCCCTTAACAGAGCAGGATTATTGAAAAGCTCAATATGGTCTTAATTGTTTGCTACTGGAGCCTCCTTCAAAAGCTGCTTTAGAAACTCTCAAGTAACTAAATGTCAGACTTTAAAAACAAGTATAGAGGGCTTCCCTGGTGGCGCAGTGGTTGAGAGTCCGCCTGCCGATGCAGGGGATGCGGGTTCGTGCCCCGGTCCGGGAAGATCCCACATGCCGCAGAGCGGCTGGGCCCGTGAGCCATGGCCACTGAGCCTGCGCATCCTGAGCCTGTGCTCCGCAACGGGAGAAGCCACAACAGCAAGAGGCCCGCGTACAGCAAAAAAAAAAAAAAAAGTATAGAAATGAAACTAAGTGAGTTAATGGAGACAAGTACAAGTTTGTGTACCAAACACCAGTTAAAAGACTGTGGACATCCACTGTCAGGCTAGCAAGACTGAAAGGAAGAGTAACTTTTTTAAAAGGCCAAATGAAGACACAGTATCAGGATTGACATATATGTATTAATATGTATAAAATAGATAACCATTGAGAACATGCTGTATAGCACAGGGAACTCTACTTCACTGTACAGTAGAAACTAACACAACATTGTAAAACAACTATACCCCAATTAAAAAAAAAAAAAGAAACCACAGTGGGGATGGAGGTAATGGTTCAATCCCAAAGTTGCAGAAGGTAAGGTTCCCCGTCATCTTGGAACACATACACAGTTGCACTCACATACTCCATTTACATTATCTAACCTCACACACTACCTAGGAAAAGGCAAGCCATTTCAGAATAAACGAATAGGGAAAAAAGTTTACCCTGGTATATTGCAAAAAGGAAGAGCAGAAATATGTGTTATGAAATTCTGTGCTCAGAAAATTTCAGCTCCATGTGCAGATTCTCATCTGCCTTAGAGGGGAAAAAGCTGTTTCTCTGAGGTTCTGCTAATAGTTTCCATCCTTTCCTAGGAGAACTTGCTATTTTCATTAAAAGGCAGGTGTTAAGACTGCAATGTAGACCAGAAGAAACTAGCTGAGTTGGTACTTTTCCACATTTAACTTAGAGATCAAACTTCCCATTTAAAACAAAAGTATTAATTAATTAATATCAATAGAGATTCTGCTAGTTAATTCATTGAAAATGAAGAAAAAATATCCTCTGGGACAGGTTCAAAAGTTTCCTGTTTTGGGGTATTTTCAAAAATACTTTATTCTTTCTTGATGCTATAACTCACAGAATAGATAGACTTCAATATGAAAATGAGCCAAAGCAGAAACAAAAATGTATCATCACATTTATGTGCAAAAGCACATACTCAAAAACAAATTTTAGGCATGTTTTGTTTACATAGCAATTTAAATGTAAAGAAGTTAAGTATTCTGAATGTTAAATTATCCTCTCCTTCAAGGTCCCTCCACCTTTATTTGCAGCCCAATCCTTCATTCCTACGTCGGGGAAAAAAGTTTTTGATTTTTTGCCATTGATAGGCACTTGCTCACAGCCTTTTTTTTTTTTTTAACATCTTTATTGGAGTATAATTGCTTTACAATGGTGTGTTAGTTTCTGCTTTATAACAAAGTGAATCAGTTATACATATACAAATATCCCCATATCTCTTCCCTCTCGCTTCTCCCTCCCTCTCACTCTCCCTATCCCACCCCTCTAGGTGGTCACAAAGCACCAAGCTGATCTCCTTGCGCTATGTGGCTGCTTCCCACTAGCTATCTTTTACATTTGGTAGTGTATATATGTCCATGCCACTCTCTCACTTTGTCCCAGCCAGCTTACCCTTTCCCCTCCCCGTGTCCTCAAGTCCTCAATTCTCTAGTAGGTCTGTGTCTTTATTGCCATCTTGCCCCTAGGTTCTTCCTGGCCTTTTTTTTTTAGATTCCATACATATGTGTTAGCATACGGTATTTGTTTTTCTCTTTCTGACTTACTGCACTCTGCATGACAGACTCTAGGTCCATCCACCTCTCTACAAATAACTCAATTCCGTTTCTTTTTATGGCTGAGTAATATTCCATTGTATATATGTGCCACATCTTCTTTATCCATTCATCTGTTGATGGACACTTAGGTTGCTTCCATGTCCTGGCTATTGTAAATAGAGCTGCAATGAACATTGTGGTGCATGACTCTTTTTGAATTATGGTTTTCTCAGGGTATATGCTCAGTAGTGGGACTGCTGGGTCGTATAGTAGTTCTATTTTTAGTTTTTTAAGGAATCTCCATACTGCTCACAGCCTTTTTGCCAAGAATATTCTTCTAACTCTACACTGCTTGTCTAAGTACCTTGCGCAGGAAAACAACTCTGATAATTACTGGGAAATATCTCCAGAACATCTTGTCCATATCCACCATTTGGTACTTATCACATAATTTCTTATACTGTCATCTAAATTTTCAACACAAATGTGTGTGTGTGTGTGTGTGTGTGTGTGTGTATTATCTCATCATCTGTCAAATGAGCTGCTGGAGATCATGGGTTTTTCTTACATTTTTAAATATCTTTTATAGCACTTACAAGAGTACCTCTTACAAGGTGGCATGCAACTATATTTTTCATAAATTATCTACCTACTACAATATAATCAACTCTTTTCCTTCAAAAAGAGGTTTTTTGTAAATTGAGCTTTACATGAGTTTCCAAAATGATGAAATATTTTCTATTTTCCTATTTAAGAGGAAAAAAGGCCCTTGTTTTTGCTACCTATACTATTATTTCTCAAGAAAATGATTGTCGAAAAGAGCTTGAAAGAATCATTTGTGGGACTTCCTTGGTGGCGCAGTGGTTAAGAATCCACCTGCCAATGCAAGGGACACAGGTTCGATCCCTGGTCCGGGAAGATCCCACATGCCGCAGAGCAACTAGGCCCGTGTACTATAACTACCGAGCCAGCGCTCTAGAGCCCACATGCCACAACTACTGAGCCTTCGCTCTAGAGCCTGTGCTCCACAACAAGAGAAGCTGCCGCAATGAGAAGCCCGCGCACCACAATGAAGAGTAGTAGGCCCCGTTCCTAGAGTAGGCCCCGCAACTAGAGATCAATAAGGATCATACAGGATCAATTAAGTAGTAGGCCCCGCAACTAGAGAAAGCCCGCGCACAGCAAAGAAGACCCAACGGAGCCAAATAAATAAATAAATAAAATAAAAATGCCAATCTTTTAAAAAAAAAACATTTGCAATAAAATTCTCATTGGCTGGTACAAAACACGATTTCTAATAACTTC